AGTTCATCTGTGAGCGTTTCCAGGTGGTTGTCAGGGACCAGGACTTTTTCCAGCTCAGCCCCAGTGAGTTAGCCATCATCCTCTCTTCAGACGCCCTGAACGTCGAACGGGAGGAGCAGGTTTTTGAATCCCTGATGGAGTGGATCAAACATGACGAAACAATGCGCTTAAAGGAACTCCCCGAGCTCTTACACTGCGTCCGATTCAGGCTCATTCCCATGGACTACTTCAAAGAAAAAGTTGAGCGTCACCAGTACATCCGATTTAACCAAGAAATCAAGAAGGAGTTGGATCTTGTCACAGACGCCCACCAAGGTCGCCTCCCCAAGCCGAAGAGGCTTGGCAGCGATGGGGCAAAGGGAGTAGAGGGGAGCAATGAGGAAAGGGAGGATGACGAGGAGGCATACCTGCCAGGAGTCCTGAACAACAACCCTCGCTTTGGGATGTTTGAGATGGACCTTGTCCTTATGATCAACAACACTGGCACCGTGGCCTATGACCCGGTGGGAAACGAGTGTTTTGTAGTGTCAGAATCTACAGAGATTCCCAAAAACCACTCTAGCCTGGTGACAAAGCAGAACCAGGTATTTGTGGTTGGAGGACTTCTCTATAATGAGGAGGACAAGGACGAGCCGTTCATGTCTTACTTCCTACAGGTAAAGGGAGCATCTTTCTTGCAAAGCTTAGAAACTAGTTTGGTTTCGCTTTGCTTTGTTTTCTGTTAAAGACCTTAATGGTCATATCTTACCATTTTCTCTTCTGGTGTAGATCTGGATAGCAATTTGTTATCGTTTACAAGGCTTAAAAATATGAGGTTCAAACCAGGTTTTTTGCTATGAAGAAGCAATAGAAAACTGTTTCTCCTCTATAAATTTGTATCTTTCGTGGCTCTACAATTTGATCATATTTGTCATTTATAAAAGTCAGTCTTTAACAAAATCTCTCTCCACACTGATGCTTTCATGGACAGTTTGACCCGGTCAGTTCGGAGTGGTTGGGGATGCCCTCCCAGCCAAATCCTCGGTGTCTGTTCGGCCTGGCTGAAGTTGAAAACTCCATCTTTGTTGTCGGTGGGAAACAACTGAAGGAGGGAGAGCACGCTCTCAGTTCAGTCATGATCTATGACAGACAGTAAGTTTATCTCCATTTAAAGAATTTGTGGTTATTCGATAGGTTCATTATTTCATCGGCTGATTTCCCATGGATTGGTAATCATTTAAAGAAATCTGAATTATCCAGATCTGGAGATATCTGGCTACTTCATCCTGCCTCCAAACAACAAATCTGTTGGTCTTGACGTTCACATTTAACACTGATCTGATTTTCTCATAGAGACACATGGTCTTCTTTGCTCACAGGTCATTCAAATGGGGAGAGTCTGACCCGCTGCCTTATGAAGTGTACGGTCACGGGACGGTAGCACACAATGGTCTTGTCTACGTTATTGGCGGAAAGTCTGAGAGCAAGTGAGTGGATTGTACAACCCTCAACGTCACACGTATTAATTATGAAAGAAAATGGCTCAGTGCTAATTTTGTAACTTCCCTTATCTGGTCTTTATTTTTCCAGTTGATTTTGCTCCAGTTTATTCAATGGTGTTGCTATAGCACTGAACTAACAACACATAAAAGTCGTTTTATGTGTTGCTATGCTATGATGATGCGCCATTCATCATCACAGTTCTGATTAAGGTTTGTAAAGCTTGCTTTACTGATGCACATATATGGGATAGAACGTGATCCGTTTAAAAGAGTGCAAAACGTGCATAAAAAGAACCAAGACGAATCAGTCATTTTCGTTTGTTTCTGCATGTGTCGCAAGCCAGTAAATATTAAGGCCTCCAAATAGCACAGCGAAGGCAGGCGTGCCACAGTGACACACATCGTCAAACAAAAGTAGATCTTGGACTTTTACAGTTCATAAAAAAAATCTGTCTTTTTGTTTTTCAAATGTGTCTTGTTTTTTTTTCCCTCAACTTTTATAAAATGTGGCCCTGTTTTACAAAAGTCTCAGTAAAATGGGCCCCCAGCTTTTTCAGCTTGGTGTTTTTAATCATTCCGTGCAGGAAATGCATGAGACGAGTCTGCGTCTACGACCCTTCCAAGTTCGAGTGGAAGGACTTGGCTCCTCTGAGGACAGCCAGGTCTCTGTTTGGCGTCGCCGTCCATCAGGACCGGATCTACGTGGCCGCGGGAGTGACCGACTCAGGCCTCACCAGCTCTGTGGAAGTCTACGACATCACCGCCAACAAGTGACAAAACCCTTTCCTCTATGACACATCCCACTGATAAAACAAGCAGGCTTTTTAAAGCAGATACTTTAAACCGAGGAATCAGTGTGACAATCTGCATTTATTATTTGGGCTTGACTTTAATTACGACCCTTTTCCCTATTATTTCTCATGGATTCATCTGAAAAAACAAACATAAAATGTGATTTGTGCTTCCGGCACAAGACATTACTGAAATAGTAACATGTCAAAATCTATTTTAATATGGTGGCAAGCAAATGTTTTCTCTGACAAACACAGTTGAGAATGCCTTTCAATTGGGGTTCAGAAACTAAGCATGTATGCAGAGTTGAGTTCTCTGCCGGCGCAATAAATCCACCAGCAAGGTCTTGTTATATACCAGAAGAGAAGAGCATTTTAACAAAGCAAGTCTTATGTTTCATTAAAATGAGGAATGTCCTTGTTTTACAAAGCTATAAAAATGCATTATTTCTTTAAAAAAAGCATAAAGGGGCTCCCTCTGACCGCTCTGACTTAGTTTCTTCTGGACACAGTCCTGTAGGTGTTGCTGTTTTTACTGTTACGACCGTTCTCGTTAAAACGAGAACACACTTTGATTTGAACGAGATCCAAATCTTATAACAAGAACGGTGTTTGTTCATTAATGCGTTTGTTCATTTCTTTGCCCCAGTAGTTAGCAATGATGCTGAATTAGTGAAGGAACAGAAACTTTCTTGAGTATATTTACGTTTCTAACACTATTCCAAACAAGTTGGCAATCTTCTTTCAGGTTCAGCAATTTAGCAAGCTAGCCTTTAGCACTTAGCCTTCGCTAAGCCAGCCAAAGTTGGATTAAACAGTAATTCTCTTGCTCCAGCAATGACACTTTCTCAATCAATTTTTAATATTCATTATGTTCATAATCATGCGTGATGCCGTAGGCTGCCATTCAAGCAAGAACAACTGCTAATGAATCAACAAATTTTGTCTAATTTCTAATTAACATGTTGATGTATTATAAGTTACACGTAAAACAATATACAACATCATTCAAATGTTACCATTATTAAACATCTATTAACTAATACACTTGATTAATGTGTGATTATTTCTAGTGGTGCGTACGCCTTCTTCCAAGATTCATTTTAAAGTGCAAGAGGTCAATATTGTTAAATGTATTCTGTTCTGATGATACAACTAACACTTTGGAATCATAACACCCAGAGTCACATATTTGATTGTGTTTCTTCCTCCCTGCAGGTGGTCTGAGTTCACCGAGTTCCCTCAGGAGCGCAGTTCTCTCAGTCTCATCTCAACAGGAGGTCACCTGTACGCGGTCGGAGGCTACGCCATGATGCCCAGCGAAACCAGCGAAGAGCCTGTACCAACTGAGATGACCGATATCTGGAGGTGAGAGGCTACTGTACATGTCGGCTGATGGTTCACTGTTTCTTTGACCGTTTGTGATTTAAATGCACATAAAGACTGTGGTAAAAATAAATAAATAAATAAATAAGTAAATAAAACCTTGAAACTCATTATATAGATTCATGACAGAGTGGAATATTTTAAGTCTTTATTTTTATGACTCACGGATGCTAAAATTAAAATCGAATTAATTAATAAAGCAGGGTATTTAAAACAGATATTTCAGGCTTTTGAAAAACATGCAAATTTTTATGCACTGAATACTGGACATGGGCTCATTTTATGTCAGTTACTGCATTTATGCGGCATAGCATGGATTTGATCAGTTTCTACTGAGATGTGTGTAATTAATCTATTTAATATCTGAGTATCACTTTTTTTTTTTTTTTTTCGCAATATCCACAATTTTTAGACGTACCAGTCAGTTAATCTTTAATGTCTAAAACATATATGCACAAAAACAAACAAAAAAAAACCCATCCAGCCCAGTCTTGCTGTGTTTAGAACCAACAATGCAGACAGAAGCGCATAGAGTCAGAAATGGAGAGGTTGGATCCTATTTTTTATTTTTTTTAATTTCTCTTTACATTATTGTGTCTAAATTCTGGGTTTAATTTCCCAGGATATCTTCTCCTAGGAAGATTAGCAAGTGTTTTATCTGCTGTGTGTTGTTGCAACACACATCATATGAAACCCTGCAAGAGTTTCTCTGAGGAAATCATTCTTTGAAGGCCTGCGTCTGGTACGCTGGGATCATTGTTGCTGCGTTACACCATTTCACGCTGCTATGATGAGCGCAACCAGCACTAACATACGTGTCTTTCCTGCAGATATGATGAGCCAGAGGAGTGCTGGAGCGGGATCTTGCGCGAGATTTGCTATGCAGAGGGGTCCACTATTCTCCCAGTGCGACTCAACACTCTCCGCCTCACCAAGTTATGATCAAGCTGAACTGCTGCCCTGTTGGGTTTTATGTTGTACGCCGGAGGACATATAATTCTTCTATCTGGACATTTTTCTAAAATTAGACTGGGGTAAAGAGTGATTCAGGGGCAACATTTAAAGACAAGAAGAAGCAATGGGTTATGAGATCAGAGTGAAGCTGTTTTATCATGTGCTGTCCAGTAGGGGGAGACAGAGACACGCCAACTGGTTAAAGCGAAAGAAGGACAAATATCACCAACTTCAGAAAAAAAAGAGAAATTTTGATCTGTGTATCTTTCCTTTTGGTGTTTTGTCATTAAGTTTGTTTACTGCTTATGTTGTAATGCTGCGTTCAAATGCAAGGTTGTTGAAAAAAAAACAAAAAACTGGCTGAACAGAAAAGGTGCCGACGCCAAACCACAGTGCAAATGTTTATATTCATCATTTGTTCAGTAACAACCTTAAATTCTACACCACAGAAAAAAAGAAACAAACAAAACAAATCACTTCCTCTAACAACAAAACAAAGAGACGTTGTCATCTTTACAGACATGATGCAAATAGCACAAGTGGGAAACGCAGTTTTAAAGTAAACATTGATTTCCAGCTGACACCTGAGTACGAAGCATGATCGTAAACTGCGTCGTAAAACAGTTATGTTTGCATATTTACAGCAGAGCAGTATATACACAACGAGAGCTCTCTGTGACGTTGAGTTCAAGGTGCATGGTTAGCTCAGTTTTCCAGCTTAGCCAGCAGGAGAAAGGTCACGTTTCTCCCAACATGATATGTACACATTAAAGATGAAACGTTTGGAGCAAACGTGGAGCAGCTCATCAGTATTTGTAGCTGGGTTAGCCTACAGGAAGTGTCCAGGTCCTACAGCATGCTAACATCGGTTAGCATGCTATTGCTAAAGTTTTATGGGGCAAAAATGAGCTAAGTCAGAAGGTCAGTGCTTCACGCTGCAGCTCCCATTTCCGCAACTCTGATAGTTTCAGTTTTAGTTGTTTCTTGGGCTCAGGCACTTCACAAAAAACATCCACACCTCTTTATTTTTGTTCACATCTCACCGTGTTACAACCACGTGAATGTAGCTTACGCCCATTGTGCTGTAGACGATCAAAATTAGCATGCAATTCCCTTTTGAAATGTTTTACTTAGGAAATAGAGTTAATTTATCCGGCAGTTCTGTTCAGATGTCTGGTAAGCTGAAAAAAGAGAATGAAAAAAGAAAATTGAGTTAATTTGTTACATATAATCAAATTAAATTTAAACCTAATTCATTTACATTTGTTAAACATGACAACTTCATGAATCTAACATATTTAGTTGGGTAAACTTAATGATTTTTTTTAAAAATTGGATCAGCTGTTTTCTTTTTTCAGTGTTGAAGATAACGAACACAGCAGACATCATGGTTTAGGGTTTTAAAGTCAAAACTTTTTTTTTACAAACATTTCCGACTTAAAATTCGTAAAAAAAAAAAAAACATTAGTTCACGGACGCTGTGCATCCACTCTAATTGGAGTTATTTACAAATTAGTATAGGGAGAGAAAAATTGGCATCTATCTGCTGAATTCGACTTGAAGCTGCAATCACGATGAATGTTTTCCACTTTTCAGATGTCTATTTGTAAAACCTTTGCAAAAGAGCTGTTTAGAAACCTGACCTAAAATAATAAAAAGAAAAAAACTAAATTAAATAAACTCACAAGGGAGCCTTAATGGAATTATAATGAAGATGAGGGAAACATTTTCATCTTTTTATATGAAAAGATTCATCCTTCGGAAACAATGAACAGATGAGAAAAAAACAGGGCAATTTATCTTGTCAATGTCAACATACACAACTGTCTGTGGAAACAAATGGTAACAACAGTACGGAATATTAACAAAAAAAACCCCACAACTGAGCAGTTTATCCATGCAGTCCAGATAACTGAAGACGCCTTCAGCATTCGCTGATGTTCCACATCTGCTCCGTCCATCGTGAGGAAACTAAAGGCCTCTGTTATCTGAGCAATGTTTCACAAGCCGGAGCTTCCATCTCTCCCCTGGAATGTTATCCGGCAGTAATTCAGCCGAGTGTATGGTCCATATAAAACTGTCACAGACAGGATAGGGACGTTCAGTACGCAAGCTGTGCTATGGACGCCTGGTCGGATCAGTCCTATCACCGACCTCCACACATTTTGTCCCCTTTGCAACAAAACCTGTCCTCTTGCTTCTCCTTGGTCGATCAGTCAGCAAACGATAATTAAGTTCCTTTTGAACGCAGTCAAGCAAGGAAGGTGTCCCTGCCTGAGTTAGCATGTTGCTACGCCGTAGCCAGTGTTGCTGTTGTAAGCATTGAGTTCAGGCTTGCTTCTTTGCTTGGCCTTTTTTCCAACTCTCACACTTTTGGAGTGATACTTAGCTGTTTCTCCTCTTTCTCGTGTCAGTCATTTAAATCTCACTCGAAGCAAAACACTTCTTACCCACTGTGCGATTATTGACCGATTCTGAACAGAGTGACAATTTGGTGTTTCGCCGCCTTGGTGGGTAGTTAGTAGAGTACTGCAGACACCTAATAGTCATGTAACCACTAGCCTGCGATGGCTCCTGTTTGAGACTGACTAGATTTTATCCTTTACAATTGTTTGGTCCAGTTCAACTTATCCTTCTGCGTTGACGTTTTACCAGAGGGTAGCTTACGTTGCTCCTCTGTTAGCTTAAAGGTGAGTTCAGGATGACTCCTTCACATGCTGAACCTGGGATATAATGTGATTATACTCAAAGGCAGACATTTACAGGTAAATAACCAAGTGCGATGACACTTGTTTCCGATTGATCAGAACCTGTTTATACCACATTAAACATGATCCAAGCTATGAATGAACGAGCGGGCAATATTAAAATGCTATGAGTAATGAAAACAGGACCCTCTCTGATTATGCATGTCAAGTGTTCAACGTGCATGACGGTAGATCTGTATGTCATCTGCATGTGAGCTGTGCTGGAAACTCGGGCGTTAGCAGCCAAAAACAGCTTCCATGAGAGCTGGAAATGCTCGTAAATCAACCAAATCAATCCACACAGAATAGGAGATTTCTGCCACTTTTAAGTTCAAGAGAGGATCATTATTCTTGTCACCACTTGTTTCAGCCTCTGCATCCACTCCTTCACAGCTAGTGTGTAATGAGTCACATGCTGGCTCAAACATGCTCTGTGTTGTATTCCTCTGAGAAAGTTATTCTGTCTGGACAAAAAGGTGATCTGAGCGCCGCTACAGAATAGGTCTAAAGTTGCTTGTCAAGCAAAGGCAAGGAGTCGGCTTGAATCTCAGTTCTTTTTTGGTTCAGAACTCTTTGTAATTATTCTTGTTATGTACAGTCTTGTTCCTAGGTTTAAATGTTTGAGGCTTTTATTCTGAAGTAAGAAAGGGACATCCTTCTTCCTTTCACTGATTACGTTCAATGAAATCTCTCTCTGTGATCGTAGCTGATGCTATATAATCTGTAAAAAAAGAAAAGTAAAAACGAAAAGGCGCATGCCTTCTTTACATTTCATTAATGAGAAAGTGTTGTCGAAGGTGTCAGATGACTTTGTGCTCTGGCGAGCAAAAACACTGAGCACCTGTTGCTTTTCGTCGCCAGCATAGAAGGTTACAACAAAAACAACAACAACAAAAACAAGAAAGAAAATCCATGTCAGGATTATCGTGGCCTCTGTACACCCAGTGTATGGCAGCAAGTACGTGTGAGTCACACATTCGTTAACCGGTAATAAAAACCAGAAGGGGGTCAGATCGCAGAAAGGTGCTCCTGGCAGGCCGAAGCCCGCCGCGTGGTGGGGCTGCATTTGGTCAGCAGGCTGATCTGGGTGCTGAAATTGTTGCCGTTGCTCCCGATGGACGGCTGCTGGTACTTGGTGTCGGCGCCGAGGAACCGCTGCAGCATCCACCTGCGCCACTTGCGCTTGACCTCGGACTGCACCTGCAGGGGAGGCCGAACGGGAGAGCAAACAGAATGGAGAGTGGGAGGAGGAGGAGTGGGTCAAAAAATAACAGACTCTGTGGCATTTTAAACGAGAAGAGCAAACAGCTAAAAAAAAGAAAGAAAAAAAACAACTTTGTTTGTATTTACTCACCTCTCCGTTCAGGAAGCAGTACAGCACCGCGACGACGAAGCCCTGTCGGAGAGACGCAGATGTGAAGGAAGAGAAAGTTCGCTGCACAACACAGCCGAGGGAAATGCTCCAAATATTTGCGCATGAATAATGACGGCGAGATTAAGACCAACTTCAGGCTGAGACAGGAGGTCCATCATGCGGACGTCTGGGACATGTTCCCGGGAGATAGCGCTCTGAGCCAAAACGGTTCTAAATGGGGAGGATTTTCCACCGCTAACTTTCCATTTTTGCGCTTCGCTCTCGACATTCATGTCCAGTGGATTACTGTAAATCAGGGGTGTCCAAACTTTTTTCACCGTGGGCCGAAATCGCCAAGCTGAAAACACTCAGTTATTTATTAAAAACGCAAAAGTAATTTTTTTCTTTTCTTTTTATCTGCTCGGAAGTAAATTAAAGGGTCTCAAAGATGTACAGTTTCCTAACTTGTTGATATCATTTTTGGTTTATCTCCAGCAACAACAAAAATGAGAACTGTCTTTGAAAACCTTCAGCGAGATTTAGCCCACTTCAATTAATAGCTGGGACTGAGTCTGTTTTTGAGTAAAACCTCGCTGGAGATTTTTGAGATGAAATTAAAAGTGAAAGCAAAAAAAAAATAAATAAATAAAAGAAAAATAAAATAAATAAAGTAAGGCAAATTAAAGAAAAACACTTGTTTTATACCTAATATTTTCTAATAAAGATTTAAAATTGTCATTAAAAAACATAAAAAGTCTCCGTCTGCATCAATCTTATTTATATACCGGTCCTGAAGTGCATTAAGGGCCACACAGAACTCCTCTAAGGGCCACAAATGGCCCCCAGGCCACACTTTGGAAACCCTTTGTTGTAAATCAAGTAAGTTATTCCAAATGCACATTAGAAACTATTAAAACACACTATTCTCTGTTTCCCTTGATACTGATGTCGGATGTTTAAATAAAGACTTTCTGTCTGGCTGACATGAAGACAAACAGGAACAAGCTTTTCAAAGCGATTAGGTGCGTTACCTGAAATGATCCCAGAACCAGATCAAACACCATCCTGACCTTCTGGTGGATGTGGTCAGGGATGAAGGCAAATATTATGTAGTTTATCCCAAACAGAGGGATTAATAACAGGGTGGATTTAGCCAGTCTCCTGAAAGCAGCAGAAACAGAAGGAGAAACATTTATAAACAATGTTTTTTTTTTTTTTTTACATATTTGTTAAAACTGAGCCTTTCTGTCTCCTTCCTGTGGTCCTATTGCCATCTGCAGAAACAACCAATCAGAGCCAGGAGGAGGGTTTTAGCACTGTCAGTCAAACCTTGTTTTAGCTAAACAAACTAATGTTTTAATTAGCTAAAATGTTAGCTAATAATGTTTTAGTTGTGCATTACTTTGTGTTGGTCTACTTACATAAACGTGTGTATGCACACACGCCTAATACAAACTGTGTGTGTATTAGACGTTTGACTGAAAGTGTCTCTAGCTTCGTTTACTAAGCTAAACAATACTTAACGGCAAATTGTAGTAGCAGGAAACAGCTGAACATGAACCCTTGCCTCAACAGACATCTTGCCAATTGGCAAAGGAAAACCTACGAGTACTGGTTGGACTCCTTCCTTCCGATGTCGGGACAGTTCATTTTCTGCCGCAGAATCCGGATTATGCAAATGAAGAGGAAAACGTTCATCTGATGAACAGAGAAGTGGAACGCTGGTTAACAGGGAGCGTCACGTGAAACGTCAAGAGCCTACGTTTGATGTAACTCACAAGAATGGCGACTAAGATGGGCGTTTTGATGATCCACCATGACGCGTCATCGATTGTTTCCCAGCATCTGACACGGACAAGCAAAAAAAACCCAGAAAAAATAGAGAATATAGATTCATAAAAGTAGGAAGCAATACCACATTTATAATACACACACAAAACATTTTTTAAACTATTGACTCTGCGGGCTGACTAGAAATGCAAGCCACACTTTTCAGATTTTTTTTTTGGGGTGCCGGGGTTGTCTTATGTAAGACTTCCCTTTCAATTCACAAATGTATTGCCTTATTGTGTAGAGTTTTGGAGAAACAGTTGGCAAACTGTCCGGTTTAATGTTCAAAAATAAAAAAGTGCTAATTGCAACAGTGCTATTTACTTCCAAGGTGTGAAAGCTTTATGATTGAATCAAAAAAAAAAAAAAATCAGCAAGAGAAAATGGAGTCAGCGCCTATGTGAAGAGTCTAAGAATCTGCAGCCTCTTTTCAACGCTCTCTTTATTTTTGCCAGTTGTAAAAGCCGTTGAGTCTTCAGTCGAGCCATCAGCCAAAAGTAGCCACTCGCGCTGAAAAGCTGTCGTTTTCTAGAATGTTTTCAGAAAGTGACAGAATGCTTAACTCACCCAGGAGGATTTAAATACGCTTTTGTAACCACCCAAGCAGAGATGAAGATGGTTGGAGCCCCTGTGAACGGACAGCAGACAGAATTATCCGTAACATCGGTGTTAAAACTTTCCCCGTCTCAAACAGGAGTCATCAGCTACTGCCAATCAAACCAATCGCAACATCAAGATGCCCTGATAAGTGGACGAGCCGTGCCTGCTTTACTTTATAGGCGAAGCATTTACGCTTTATCTGTTTTTTTTTATAGGATTCTTATGAGCTCAGTGCCAATATTGGTTCATCTGAGGACTCTGCGAGGAAGTCACAGGGTTTTCTCCATTCTCCTGCTGGAAAATACAAATTCAACCCTATTTGTGGATGTTTTATTGGTGTGTGGGGGAAAATAAAACATGGTCACCGATCATCCATCTCCATGGTTTTTAAAGGGCAAAAGCTAGAAACGTCAGATTCTGGCAGCTCTTCTGTGAGAAAGTTTGGATTTTAATGAATGACTGACACAAAGAGGGAAGGTTCAATCTTTAGGTTAAAATCGGTTTTGTGTTTTTGATATCTTTGTTCGGCTCTTTGAACATTTCTTGAATCTTACACCGCAAGTGCAGAGATGCTGCTGCTGAAATCAACACTTACTTCGCAAACATGTCATATAAGTTCTTCAAAAAAGGGAGACTGCCATGTGAGCACTTACCCCAGCCAATCAAAATGTACCACCAAAAGTACTTCCTCTCTGAGAAGAAGGAGACTGCCAACAGAGCGTGAAGGTAGAGGCCCTCCACCAGCAGCCAGAAGTAACTTGCCATGACTCCATATTGGAACAAGACCACTACTGCCTTGCAGCCCACCTGCAACACAAGCATCAGTTTGTGGCTCACTGCTTTCACTGCCAATACAATGTAAATGTATTTCAAGACAGAAATAACAAACTTTAATTCCCATAAGAAATTGCTTTTGCAGTCCAAAAAGGTTCTTCTCCTTTTCACAAAGGATTCGCCAATTAATTGTCCAATTTGTGTTTATGCCGATGACACTGTTGTTTCCACTTGCTATCGTCTTTTCTTAAAGAGTCAGTCACGTGCAATTTAATGTTAGCTTGGTTTAAAGTGGTTCAAACAGAATGCATTGTGTGTTGTCTGACTGAATCTTAGACATTCTTCTCATTTGGGTTTTGATTTTGGGAAGGTTGACTCCCTCAAATATCGACTCCTCAGTCCGGTTAAATATTTAGCCTTTTGGATGAGGAAGAAAATAACAGCACGCCACAATGGATCACATTGATTCTCAAGGATGATTTTAACTTTCCCTATGGATTGTTTTCAGATCTACATAATATTTTGAGCATGCTTACATTGAATTAGCTTCAATTTGGGGTCTGCATAAGGCTGACGTAACACTGTTACAAACATGATAAAACACCTATGATGACTATGAAGAAGTCTTGATGAATTTTTATGACATGAAGAGACGTTCTGTAAATAATGACAATTTCAATGCAAAATTTGCAGTTTTAATGGATTTTTAATGCAAGTTTTAGTACAACTTTGCTTTAAAAGTGACATTATTTACCAAATAATGGAGCGTTGGCGATTATAATGGACCTTTAATGCAATCTTTGGTACCTTTTGTCATTATTTACCACTTTATGACAACAGTCATAAACATTCATGAAGACTGCTTCATGTTTATAACGGTGTTATGCCATGTTTATGACAATGTTATGTCAGTCTTACACACATCCCTTCATATAAAGTGTTACCAAATTTTCATTTGCACTAATTTATTCCCACATGTGCACACTTTATCTATCCTATCAAAATTAAAACATAAAAGATTCATAATTCTGTTAAATCTCAAACTCAATATCCTCTTTTTAAAATTATTGTTCTGGCTGTATAGCATCCTTAAATAATGTAGAAAGCAATTATAATTGAAACCAACAATGAAGTAATTAAAATCGGGAGTTTATGAAAGTTTACTTTTGAAACTCTTCATGACGATAAAGAAAAGTTCTGCCTACGATGTCTCTCCATCGTACAACCAGACATAATGAATCGGAAATCATGTTTTGAAATGTACATTTGTCTGTCGATTTCAAGCCTGGAGGCTGATCCCTGTCGAAGGAAGCTCACGTTCTTCATGGCATTTGCAAGGAATGATTCATCAGATTATAACAGAACATTCTGCTCCAGCTAATCCGAGCTCTGCACCGCTGTCCGCTCTGATGCATGTTATCTTCATTTAAATGAGGCGTCGGCCGTGCATTAAGAAACGGATAGAAATCCGTTTGAGCCACACGTGGACAAACTGCAGGCGAATCGAAAAGAGTGTCTCGCTGTCAAAGACCACTGCAGTCCGTGACGCACAGTGTGAAATATCCACAGCCGTGTGAATGCTGGTGGTGACTGTGGCGCAGGGGAAGAACAGCAGCATAACAACATCTTTGTGATGATGTGGTCCTGATAATGTTAAATATTAATTATGTAATCTCCAAAGAAAAGGCTGTTTTTTATTTTTTATATTTAGAAACATTTTTACTTTATTCATGAAGCAAAAATAAGGCAATTTAATGCAAGTCAGGTTTTGCACAAGTTACATTTGATATCTGCACAAATTCTTTGTATCTCATTTTTTAAATGCAATCATTTCCTTTCCAGTCATTTATAGCTGTACTTGTAAAACATATTAAAAAATCCTGCTGTTTCTTATATTCAGATTGTGAACCTGGATCTGACGCACAAGGACTTCAAATCACTCCAACCTGCCAAACTCGATGGCTGTGCTGATATTATTGGAGCTTTTTGCTTTGTGAATCAGACACTGGTTCGGCACAGAGCAAAATAGAAGAAAGCAAGCATAAAACAAATCTGTAGAACGATTTGAGCTTTTCGCTCCAACTAACTTCAACCAAAGTATAAAAAGTCACTTTTTACAGTGTTTTCAGAAACATCTTTGAAATTTAGCAGCTGCATTTGGTGTTGAGTAACCTTGGAATCCCTGAGATGAAATATCTCCACTCAGCTGTTAACAATCAGTCCTCGGATATTTTCAGTCTAATGATCTAATTCTGGGTAGAGATAACGGAGATGAATCAGACAAAGTGAGATTTGAAAGAAAGAAAAAAACAAACTCCACTGACGTCCCACTGAAACAGCTGTGCTGAACTAAAACGACGCGAGACGTTAATCTGACACCCACTGTCACCTTGGTGGTGTCAAGATAAACTGCTTCATTTACGTCGCACCTGTAAATGCAGTTTATTGCCAATGATGTCTGAAGTCCAGGTTCAGCGTTAAACAAACAGGAACTCTCACAGGATCCTGCTTTACAGAAGAATTAGAAGACTTAACGGACTCTGCAAACACCGTTACACCCTAAACGTTGGGTAAACCCTGAGCCAACACTCTCAGGGCAGTAAAGTCTGAAAGAGAAGCTCCTTCAAGTAACAGAGGAAATCTACGATTTGGGAGAAAAGTTAACTAACCGTGTAGTTTCACTGACATGTTGTGTACTTTTTAGGGCATATCTCTGCAGCAGGGCCAGCACAAGCCTTTTTGGGGCCCGGAGCAGATTTTAATTTGGGGCCCCTCATACAAACATGTCAAAACCAGATGCTATACAATTTCTAGTCTACACTAGACCTGTAACTACTATTATTAGTGTCATTTGTGATTAGCTTAGACTGCAGAAAAACACAAAATCTTACCAAGTATTTCTGGAGTAATTTCTAATTCAAATATCTTATTACACTTGAAATAAGACAAAACTGGCTATTTCTTTTAGAATTAAATTGGAGCTTGTTTTAAGTCAGTAACTCCTTAATATTGGTTAAAAATTACTAGTGACACTGGCAGATTTTTTGTCTTATAACAGAAAAAATGTGTTATGATCTACCAGTGGAACTAGTACTTTTTTATTAATAAATATCAAGAAAATATTGTCTTAAATTCCTATTTCTTGCTGAAAAGTTACTTGCAAGTCAGTGTTGTCTTATTTTAAGTGAACATAGATCATCTGCACTGGAGACTTCACCAAAAATACTTAGCAAGATTTTATTTTATTGTATTTATTTATTTATTTTTTGCAGTCCACATCATACCAGTGTTATCATGACTATTGATTTTTAACCTTGTTACAGGAGTAGCAAACAAGCAAAGGTGTTCTAATTCATTCACATTTTGAAATGCACAGTGTTATCTCTCAATGTGGCATTTTGATTTAACTGGTTGAGAGTAACGTCTGCAGACAAACACTGAAATCACAGTAAACAAGTTAGCAAGTTTAATAGTTTTTGGTTTTAAAACGTGGAATGAAATGTGTACATTGTGTAAAAACGTGCAATGTGTCACTACGAAACAAAATCCAATGATCCTCTTGTGGGCCCTAAGCAGCCGCTTAACTCACATATGCCTTGGGCCGGCTCTGAAAACATCATTGGTCATATTGACGTGTTTAGGCTGATCAGACAGCTGATTGGACGGATTTACTCACCGGTGCTTGGCAGTTCTCCGTCTCGCCGACCTCGTACAGAACCACGTCCTTTATAAAGACAGTGACGGCTTTGAGGATGAGAGATACAAACAGATGCATGTGGATGTAGTTTCTTGTGCAGCGAAGTTTCCTGCAGAACAAGAAGGGATAAACAAAAAGATCACATCCAAAAGGAGAATCTATATTTAGACGAGCTGCATCGGTTCACCCAAGCAAAGCAGAAGTAGATTAGTGTTTGTTACTGTCGACTGCCGTAAATCAAAGTTCGGTTGCCGGTGCTGAATGCCAACACATAAACCCTGAAGAAGTCAAGAACTAAATACAGTATCTGCTAAACACATAAAAGATTTCGTTTTCCCGGAAAAAATGCAAATCTATCAGCCAGAAGCAGATGTGCAAACATCCAAGTTGACAACCAGCAGAGTCGAACAATTTCAGGGATTTGATGACATGCCACTAATGCGAATTCTTCACTCAGTGTTTTCAAACAGCGGTTTAGGCAGATGACTTTGGCTTAATTGCGTGAAACCGCCAGGCGGATCGTCTTGAGCGGACCAGATGAGACGCGGCGCGGCATCAGCCAGCTGCCCGAGCGCTGCCTGTAAAGCTGAACGTAAACAGCAAAGCCTCATGACATCCTGTGTTTCTGCTGCGCGGCGCGGGCCAACGGCATTCCGTGACCCGCCGGAGTAAACACGGGCCTTCTTGTTTAGCCCGTCTTTGTGCAAACAGCACAAAAGCGATGTGAGGAGAATAGGCTGCTCGCTAAAAAAGCCAAACACACTCTGGCTAAGCTTATCGGTGTCGCATTAATGTTCAAGAGGAAGTCGAGGCAGAGGGTCAAAACTGGAGGATGTCGTAAACATCGTCCGCCCCGCTAAGTGGCTTGACTGTAGCTTGAGTTTATAGTCACTTACTGCTGATAGCGTTGCGGTGTTCATGCAAGAAATGTCAGAGTTTTAAAAAGATTCTCTTAAGCTTCTGGAAAATAAAAGAAAGGAGCATTATGACGCGGTTTTATTGGACCACGGACATAGACAGTGACGACAACCGCCAGAGAAATACGGGAGACGCTGTGACCGATTGGGCACGGCTCGACAAACTTTGCGGTTTCTAGGAGACAGGACACAACAGAAGGGAGGGCTGTGATAAACTTGAAGCCGCTCACTTCCGGTTTACACCGGTTCTTTGAAGGCAGCGACCCCTGACCCCTGACAACCTGAGAGAAGTTGCCCCCAACCACCTTCTCCAAATCAGACAGAATGGGTGTCAATTAACTCCACTATGTTTGTGCAAACGTTTGACGCCAATTTTGTCTGATTTCATAAAAGTTGGGGGGGGGGAGGCTGGTTGACCTTTTGACCTTTAACCTTTCTTTAATATCTTCAGAGCCAAAGCAGCACCAACAAAAATGTTTGCTCCACAAACCAGCACAAACACAGTCGAGTTAATTGACACCAATTTCGTCTGATTTGAAGAAGGTGGGGGTCCAGCTTCACTCAGGTCACCTGACAGACTGCAGACTGACTTCAAATTAAACCTATGAGCTAAAATAAAGTCACCTTTTCCGTGTGATATAAATCGATAAAGAGCTACATACAGTCAAGAACTGTCAAACCTTAGACGAAGAAATAAATATATGTTTTGTTTGAGAATGATCCTTACCGAAAGAAACAGAGTGCGGTGATGGCAACCATCAGAGAAATAAGGGAAACGCTGTGACCGATTGTGTAGCCAACTTTGACGGTGATGTAAAAATCTCCCTGTAACGACATTATCAGTCATACCAGACTCAACAAAAAAGAAAAACAAAAGTAATTTCGAGATAAGAGAAACGACAGAAAAACACACGAGTCGCCACACTGACCGAATTCTCCTCCGCGGTGTTGTTGGGATTGTAGCCGCAGTCCATTATGTAGGAGTCCAGGCTGCTGGGGGGCCAGCCCTGCACGGTGCAGGTCTTTGACAGGTTGCCTGAGGAGCAGACACAGGAGAATCACCGCCGACTCGCTGTGGCGCGATGACGCCTCTCGCACGCGTCGCGTAAAAGTAAAGTAATGAGTGGGGCTGCTGAAAGGGGAATCAACAGCTCTGACATTTATTCACTCTTAATTACGTTTCTGTGAGATATGCTGGTCCCTGTGGGATACTCCCTAACACTGAAAGGAAAAAAAACTGGCACTGAGACACAGACACAGTTCCCATGTGTATTTGCCTCCATCAGTATCTTAATTATTCTCACGCTGCGCCCCCACACACACACACACACATAAACAAAGAGGTCAAGCAGAGATGTTTTTCTTTGAGGGGGAAGAGGTGAAAGAGCTGAAGACAAATGGCTAAGGAGCAGAAAGTTGCCCTTCAGTGAACGGATTAAACCAGTTAAGATGGAGGAAAGAAGACGACGAGGGGGGAAAAAATAGAAGAGGACAAAAGAGCTTTGGAGAGGAGAGATGAGTGCTGAAGGGTTGTGCGGACTGGGAAGATATTAAGGACAGTAAAGGAGGAGGAAGGGAAGAAGATTTAAGCAAAAAAGAAAAAAAACACTGGGCACACTGGATGAGAGAAGAAAGGAAAGATAGAAAGATAGAAAAAAATAGTGAAGCAGAAACACAAACTAATGCAGAAAGTACTATTCTTTAAGTTACATTTAAAAAGGGTATTTTTGTATATCTTTTATTGTTTCTCAGTCTGCAGTTAAACTTTCACCTTCCGTCTTCATTCGTTGTGCTATTTTTCACCGACACTCTCCTGTTCTTTTTTCTTCATGCTCTCTTCTGCTGCTGAGCTTCAGAGAGATGATAAATTAATTTTCCACCTGGTACCTCTCCACACTGCTAATAGCACAGATAACTGCGTTAAAGACTGAGGAAACCAAAAAGACCAACAATCTGGGCTGATATTAACCCCCATTAAAAAAAAACAAAACAAAACAAAAAAAACGTACACCACCCTGATACTGCCAAGGAAATGGCTGACATTTCTGTGACTAAAACACCTTCCATGGCTTTATGTAGTACGTGCATTTTCTAAGAAGCTGAGTTTTATGTTTTGGGTAAGCGCAACAGCATTAAACAGATTTAAACACCCGAAATGTTTTTGTAATTAATCTATATATGAGTTTACGTCTTGTTATTGTTGCGTTGTCTGTTTTTGTTTATTGTGTGTGTATTTTTTTTTAATTACATAAATTAATAATTTTCTAAATTAAATTCACTAAATTAAATGTGCCACAAATGTTAACACAAATCTCTAAATTTATTGAGCATTTCAATAAGAATCATGGCTATAAATATTTTTGTCGGTCATTTTGGAGTGGAAGATTGAATTTTTTATTTTTTTTTACTGTCATGCTCTTGAACATGGTGAGCCAAAATACATAATTAATTCATTTATGATTATACATAAATATATGGAGAAAAAATTACTTCTAGTCCAAAACCTAAACTTTCTGATTAAACAAAAGTTTTATATTTTACATTAAAACCTGCTGAATATCAACAGGTTTTATAATATCAAACACACACACACACACACACACACACACACACACACACACACACACACACACACACACACACACACACACACACATATATACATACTCTAATTGAGGATTTTTAAATTTGTAAAGTAAAAATTAATAAAGCGGACCTAAGTAGGTCCAATTTGGACGTGATTTGACTTCCCTTTTTTGTAAAACCTATTGAACTGAAATATAACAGTTCTTCCTGGTAGCTCTCTATTTCAGCTATCAATCATTAAACAGACGTGTGTTCTAGCATCCACAATCCTGCAGTAAAACAAATCATTGTTTGTTCCTCAATGTGTCGCTGCAGCATTTCCTCATCTCATTTTGTGACCATCAGAAAAAGTGTCACGCGCCGGCGGCAGATTAATCCGATTGCTTCAGGTTTGACATTCCTCACATGTCTCAACCGCGTCACTTTACTCTGCCTCTTGTCAAGTTGAAGCGGAGTTGGTGAAATGTCAAACAGTTCCAGAGTGTAAGAATGTTTTCGGCATTAAAAGTTTGGTCAAATACCTAAGCGGCATAATGCAGAGAAGAACGCGGCTTAGCTTCCTCAAACAATACGACAAGACACAAAGGCAGAGATAAGCCCCCGCCGTTTCAGCCACTGCCACCGCTGGATTTGGCCTGTTTGAGGGATTGCCAAAAGAATGCTTTCATCGTTCCCCTCAAAAAGCAAGACGCCAAGCATTTTCAAAGCCACGCGTGACAGTCGAGCCAAAATTAGTTCCTCGTAAAACAACAGTTGCGTTTTTAGCCTCGTTAAATCAAAAGTCTTTGTCAGTGTTCACTATTCAACTCCATTATCGTCTCTAATTAGCTCTGGGCTAAGATGGATGTTCGAGGAGTCACATCAGCGTCAGCAGTTTTATGGCAGACAGGTGAAGGCGCTGCCGTCCGGGCACTCTGTCACTCAGAGGCCGGAGAGAAGGTGAGACTCCCGAGATGAATGGCTGCGTGTTTGCACTCAGCCTACTAGGTAAGGAGTTCATGAGAATGGCAAACTGTCGTAGTTCAATTTATGGGCTGGCCCCTCGACGTCCGTGGCGCCACGTTTCGTAATGCTTGTTTTTACTGCGTGAGCCTTATAAAAAGAACGGCTCGGGATGTGTCAATAGCTCCAGCCTTTCACAACTGTTCCCGACGACTGAACCGTCGGCTCTGACGGTCTCCACGTTTTCCAGAATACCTGCACAAAGGAAAACACGCAGGCAGGTAGCCTTTATGTTTCTGCAAACTCTCAAGGCGAATGAGAACAAATGGACAAGAGGTTCCAAAAGTTCAGGATGTATAAAATCCCAGACATTCCCTCCTTATATGGCTTGCACTAATAATATGATTTACGGATATCATGTGCAACAACTAGTTTTTCTTTCTGTTGCAACCTCTGATCTTTGTCACGACCTGAACCAGCTGGGCCTAATCGATCCTACGGATCTTTGCCATATCAAGTAAACATAAATTTTCTCTCCAAAACCAACGCTTCTTAATCTTTCCTTCCGTCTTTTCCCTGGAGTGCCGTCTTCGCCTAGGTCACACCAGCTCCCATCTGGGTCGAAGCAGAGCTTCCCACAAAAGCCTTCTTCTCTCGGCTGAACTCTTTGCACGCCCGTCGTAAATCTTAGATCCGGCCCGTTTTCATTCCCCAACAAGTGACGTGCAAGCAGGAGAGAGAATGCTTCTCCTGGCTCTAGATTAAACATCTCAATCAGCGTTTCAGTGACTAAGAGGACCGGGAGGAGACACACAAATTTCTACATTTTGTCATATTATTCATCTGTTTTACAGGAATTTTGGACAGGCCAACACAAAGCAACTCTGAGTGGTGGAAGTGTGTTAAAAATGTGCCTATTTAATCAATTAATCTAAAGCAACTGAAAAACAGCTGAAACACTGATTTTCTTTAAATCTCGACTAAAAACCCAAATGTTTAGATTTGTGTTTGAAACGTAATCAATTACATATTTCACGATTACACTGGACTTAATGTAAGGTTTGATTGCTGATTCTATGCTGCATGACTTTGTGTTTTTGTGTTTTTTTATGATGTAAATCAGTTGGAAATGCCTCCCTGCTAAAATGTGCAATGCAAATAGAATTTGATTGATTGATTGTTTGATTAACGCACAAAAGTGTTTCCCTAATTATTTTCCTCCAAATTCATATTTGGAGGAGCTATATGAGCTATTTTGCATTGGTAAATGACCTTTACTTGTACAGCATCATATCAACTGAAGTGTCTCACCCAACGACACAACGACAGAGACGGACTCCACTGGTCTCTCACATTAAATACCACAAAAGTACATTTACGTCTTTATTTATGATGTCAAAAAAATGCAGAAATAGTTAAAGGAGTATTGCAACTTTGTAAGAAACTTTATGTATAAATGTGCATCTACTCTTATAAAGTGCATGCACACCGTTCTGTCCTAAAAACTGTAGAGAACGATAAGTAGGGAGGAGAAGAGGGACAAGAAGGGAAAGGAGGATGAAGATCTCAAATCATACCATATATTCATATTTAAAGATACACCATCACAAAACTGAGGCTTTGCAGCTTGCAGAAGACAAATAAACAACTCCTTCTAATATTACAGCATAATTACACTAAAATGATACAGTGTGACAATTAGAGACAAGTGGAGAGATGCAGGGAATCATTTTCGGAAGGACACAGTCCTGCAAATCAGCCGGTGCATTCCTCGTCCAGGGGATAAGTTCGTACATAATTAGCGTTGCATCCCCGCAAGGATGCAGCGCATCAAAGAAGGACAAATAAACAGCAAGTCTTCTTTGATGGTGCTGCAAGAGGAACTTGTTTGTTTCATGTCACTCGGATGTTGAGATGACGGCGTGTGACCGTGGAGCAGAACTACATCACAAATCCGGACCAGCGGGACGCTCTGAGCCCCCCTGTATTCCCACTTTGTTTCCTCACATGTTAAGCACGACCGCACTGGCAGCAGTCGAAGAGGTGCGAATATTTGTGACTACAAATGGAGAGGGAATGAGATGAGCGACAGTCACGTTTGGTTTGTTATCGCCGGTCAGGAAAAGAAATTCAGACTTAAGCACTAAAATGCTGATTTTGTTTTATTGAGCAGCAGGCAAGAGCCAATAGGTTTGTGATCAATAGGTCAATAAGATCCAATAGGTTTGTGATCAATAGGTCAATAAGATCCAATAGGTTTGTGATCAATAGGTCAATAAGAGCCAATAGGTTTGTGATCAATAGGGGAGGGTGATTACAGGTGAGTCCAATAACTGTGAGAAGCTGAGAAATATTGTGTGTCAGATACAGAACTAAGAAAACATGACACAGTGCACCGGAAAATAAAAATACTTCTTGTTGCAGCAGATCATGATAGTTGCCATTGACAACGGGTGTATAGAGCTTGGTTATCATTCAGCTGAATCTGTAAGATTGTTGTCTTTCGTACATGAAGCTTGTTTTTTGAAAAGCTTTGAACTTATTGTCCGTGACTTTTACTTGAGCTGCGTCTGTCTCGGCACCATGAAACGATTCGCAGCAAATTTCAGCTTCTTAATGCAGAAGAAAACAGTAACATCTCCACATGAAGATATAAACTTAAGGACAGGACTGTGTCTATGTGATCGTAGACACAAACACAGTGGAAACGAGCCGCGTTTCCACTGACCATAAAATAGCGCAAAGTGGAATCAGCGGAAACATGGCAACTTTGAGAAAACTTGTGTTTTTCGCTAATATGTTTCTGAGCTGGGATGAGGTGGATTTTGGACTGTATCAAAATGTGATCAACACCGAACGTTACTGCTGGCGATGATGGCACCATGTAGTTTTTAATGACGTATGCATGATTCATGTGTAATTTCAATTCAGTTTCTTATTTAATGGAAACGCCACAATTGCAAAATTGAGTTTTTTTGACATTGTTCAATACATTTTGCGCACGGTTGTAATGGAAACGCAGCTAATGTTACCCACAAATATATAAGTCTTTGTGCTGACTGGTTGTTGATATTCCAAGCCAATTTCTTTAGGCTTTACTCCGTACACTGAAAGCCGTTTAAATTGATAACTTCTTTCTGCGCCCTTGTTGTTGTGTGAATGTGTGTGAACCTGCTGCAGGCAGGGAATGTGATTCTGTTTGCAGGTATTACAGAAACGAACAAAGGAATGCAGCCTCACCCTCGTGCACTGTGTCACATTTAACTTTTTTTTTGACCGCCACACAGGTAAATATGGCAGAGATAAGAGTTCAAATGGTGTTTTTCTGTGATGATTCCCTCTACTGACGGGTTTAAACAAAAACCAGGATCTTTCTACAAGACAAGAGCCATTCTTGTCCTTCTAAAAAATCCTTTTGCACTCCATAACTTTGTATTTATTTTGCTTTCTGACATCAGGAGCAAAGAAACATGCACGTATGTGAACAGCTTCATTGGGAATATATTTATATTAAAGTAGAGTTTGAGCGAGAAAAGAGAGCAGGAGAGATTTAAAATGACATTATTAAACTGGCAATGCCAGGGCCACCTATGCTATCGTAACAAGTATGCCATCTATCTGATTAAATATCGATTTGAACATGAACTGGTTCATTGTAGACTTTAATTCACAATGCATTGCTGCTGATCTATAAACTTGAATTAATTATGTCATGTCCGAATTAGGTCTAGATAAGCATGAGTTTTCCCAGAACAGATTTGAGCGCAGACAGAGGAAGTGTTATTTGTTTGTTTTGTTCCGCAGAATGACAAAAGACGAACAGCAGTAGGTTTCCACAGATTATAACAGCTTTTATGATACATTTTACATCAGCGCAACAGCGACTGCACCGATAACGCTTGGACCGATAAAGTCCAACATTTGAAATGGGTCACACCAAGCGACCCTATGTAACCTGCCGCGAAGGGAAACTGTCAGGCTCTTTGAAATATTTAAAGACCCTGACTCACAATAATAAATCAAGGCCAATCTCACCGCCATGAGAGACAGCAAAACTGAGTCATCGGGCAACCATGTTGTTCACGCAGATGAACAATCAGAATATAAATGATTCATACAGAGAAATGAGCATAATTCAAATGTGCAACGTGAACTGCAGCGACGGTCGGTGAGGCGACCATCAGCAGTGATGCAGTACAGGTAGACTAATGTAATCTACTTCAGCAGTTGTTGTCCTGATAACCCGGTTGACAGTATTAAGAATGTTAAAGAGTGCATCTAATATCTTATTTTAACCCTTTGAAAAAGACACCGGATAATGTTTTATGGCCCCCAACACTTGTAACATAATCCTGATGGGATGTGCAGGTGTATCATCACACCCAGAATTAAAATGTGAAGAATCACAGCTTGCTGCTGGCTGGCGACAGGACTTTCTAGCCTAGTTTAATAAGCAAAGGACAAATTTCATACACATGTGCAAAACCGTTCAAGATTATCTCATTTTCTGTCATTTAAAAACAGAAGTGCAGCTATTATTTGCACTGCAGTACCACACCCTGCAAAACACTTCTTCACCTCTGAGCTTCACTTTTGGTGTTTTGCTTTGCAAATCTAAATGCAAGGCAAATGAACTTCCTGTGTTTCCTCAAGACGTTTCACCTCTAATCCAAAAGCCTTCTTCGGCTGACAGAAACCTGCCTGTAACATGAACTACACTAATATGGCCATAAAAGTCACTAAACAGGATAATCAAATTTATGTCTTATTTGATACTATAAAAGTCGTTTCAGCGCAAATCTGCTCAGAAATGTGGAAAACAATTTTTTACAGAAACCGTAAGGATATCAGCAGACGCTCCACACCAAACACAATTCAGTTCATAAGGTGGGATCTTACGAGGGAGAGCATTGCTGGCGAAGTAGAAGAGATACTTGGGGCACGGGATGGTGACCACCTCTCCGACGTCGGCAGAGGGCCAGCAGGCGATCTTGTCCCAAGTGATGTTGCAGCCTGCCAGGAAAAAACGGAAGAACATGAGCTGACATGACCAAAAGCGATGCATAATCAACAGAGGAGCCGCTGTGCAACCAAAGGGCTCAAGGTCAGGGCGAGGTCCGGCATCAATGTCAAACGGCAGCCCGGTTAAGCTGAAGATGGAGTTACCGCGGCAGCTGAAACATGTAACGTCTGCTGCCGTGGCTCGGGCGGACGGCCCGGGGTAACAGAGTGTCACCATGACTATTCAAGCAGCTTTCCTTCCTTCGCTGCTGTTTGAATTCAGAAGGTGAAGCCGTAACTTCAGGGATCAGGTGGCCACAGCGCCAGACCTGCTCCCGCGGCCCATCGAAACACTATCCCGAGGATACATTGGAGATGGGGTTCATTCGCCGCAAATGACGAGCAGGTTAAAACGCTGATGGGAGTTTAATGCCTTTTGGGTTGTGTGAAAATGAGCAGTCTCCCAGCGCCTCCTCCCATCACTTCATCGCATGTAATTCAAAACCTATCAAGAATAACAACAACAGGTCACCCAATTGAGGTTGATTGTTGCATATTCATTGCTTGATTTGTTCTTTTGATCCATGTACATGACAGTCCTGGCTCAGGTGAATTTGTTTTGCTTTCCCGTCCCAAAGGAGCGCTCCATTTGTTTACGGTGTGAGGTGATTCCAGACATTTTGAACTAAGCTTCAAGCGACTTTGACTCTGCCGCGTTTTGTCACAAATAGTAACTTTGATGAAAACTTACAGGGATTTTCTGTGACAGGATAACATCACAGAAAGCAGAAAAACAGCAAAATAAAATGTCATTCTACAAATAGAGAGCGAATACTGTTTTTTTTCTCTTTCTATTCCATATGTATGACATATTTAAATTGAGATTAAAGTATTGAAATACACACAGGTAAAAAACTAACAAACAAAAAAGCTTCAGAGGATTATTCTGGATTTTATTTAAGGGTATTAAGGTAAATGGCCTGAATGCAAACCCACTAAATAATTCTAACAATAACTTTTATTACAAGTTTGAAAACAATCCATAATTGTATCAATAATTCCTTCCACTTCTCAGTTATGCAAAGTGGAAAGAATACATGGTAACTGCAAAAAAATAAAAAATATGTTACCAACTATTTTTGGTCTATAGCTTAGTACACTTAAAATAAGACAAAACTAACTCATAGCATTTTATTAGGAAACAGGACAGTGGTCAAGGTCAACAATTCCTTAATATTGAGGAAAATGTACTATTTCCATTAGCCAACTATTTTACTTTTTTAAACCCAGGTTACAAGTGAAATAATCTTGCCATAAAAAGAGTACTTTTTCATCCATGCTAAGGAATTAGCGACTTAAACCACTCTCCTGCTTCTTGTTTAAAAGTTACCTGTAACTCACTTTAGTCTTATTTCAACCGTGCTAAGATATGTGCACTCGAAACAAAAAGCACTTGGTGAGACTTTGAGTTTTTCCAGTGAACATTTTGGAAAGATTAGGTGTGCTGCTTTGTGTTGGCCTGTCGCATAAAATACAATGAAATTCATAGTTTCTAAGTGACAAGCTAACGAGATATGAACAGCTCCTGGTGCCTTTAGCGCTTGTTGTCGTGCCTATCGGCTCTGTGATGCACAAAGGATTATGGGACGAAATAACGGCAGCCGTCAAAATGAAGTGAAACCAAGCACACGAAGGGATACAGCGCAGACATACCTGTCGTGTTGTTCTCGACCTGAGCTCGACACATGGCTCTCTCCTTGTCTATCTCCAGAATCAGGTCACACATTGGGCTCTGCGCCGAACGCACCTGCACACACAATATTTCACTCTTTCTCTGCAATGAAGTGATTTTATTGTTTGTGTCGTCTTTGTTTGTTCTTATTTGCACAAAATTAGACATCGATAACAGAAGAAATACAGGCTATTGTCCAGTTCTGTCGTGTTTACAGACATGTTAAATATTGTGCGCTGTCCCCAGCAAATAAGTGAATAAATAAATGTATTTTATCTGCATTTCTTTTATGACAAGCCAACACAAACTGGTGGAACAAGTGTTTTTTTTCTTTTCCTTTTTCAGAGTTTCTCACAAAACATTTGATGTGTTGGAGAGCGCTGCAAGTCCTTACAGTCCATTCTTCTTTGCTAACTAGCTAAGACTCTGATAAATTGGACAGAGAAAGCATCTGCAAACTTCAATTTTCTCAGCATTCTTCAGATTCTCCACTGGATTTATGTCTGTACTTTTACTGGGCCATTCTAACGAGTGAACGGGCTTCGATCCGAACTGTACCTGCTTTGCTCCAGCTGTAAGTTTTGGTGGATTTCCACCTACGTCTCCACTCATTTGCGTCCTGTGACGGGTCTTCTTATCGAATTCTCAGATAAGTAACTCCATCCATGTTCCTATTCAACTTGAAGAAAACCAACCATGCCAGCAAACGCAGCCACTACCATGTTTCACCATGTGCTTGGGTTCATAAGAAGTGTTAGATTCTTGCCTCTCAAAACCTTTTGCCATTTTTTTTATCTCCTCTATGGCCCTGGGACTAATAACGGCTTTCTTTTAACAGTATTAGGAAAACAATAGTCCAACTTGTCACCTGTGAGAAGCGTGTGCTGCTATCTGGTTGATTTGTTTGTTTCCACCACAGAAAATGTTGGCAAGATTTCAATGGAATCATTACCATAGATAAGGCAAAGCCTTTTTTCTTGGCTTGACCATGAGAAACATTTGCATACACCTGCAGACAGTGTGTGTTTTCCCTACAATGCCGATGCTGATTGACCCAGCTGGCGAGCTGACCTGGTTTCACAGAGGGATTGTTGCTTCTGAAAAGCAAAAAGTGATGTGACCTCAAAAGCTACTGACACTCCAACCGCGTTTCGAAGTTGTTTCAGACAACAAGACATCAAAATGTGACTTTATTTTCTGGTTTGGAGTTTCTGAAAATAACATGTTCACCTCAGGTTTTCCATGCCACGTTCCCACCATGACGTGATGATGTGATGACGTGGCACGTTGATGGTTTTCATCAGTCTTTAAAAACTTCTTTTCATGTTCAATGACTTTTAAAGGCACGCGATGGCACTGGGTTTTATTTGAGGGCATCAAAGGGGGCTGAAATACAAAATCCTGCTGTTATTTTTGTTAGAGACTCCTAAAGCATGAATGCTTTTCAAATATTTTTGATTAGATGGCTTCTCCAGGAAATTAGCTGCACCGCAATGTAAACTACATAGTTTATCATTTATTGCGATACATTTTTTTATAATAAGAATGTAAATTTGTTGTTGTCATAAAAAATTTGAATGAACGATGTTAAAAACAAAAGTGTCCTGTCTTGACTGTGAGTTTTACTATTTTCTCCACTGTATGTTCAGTGTGAGATCCAGTATGAAAATATGATTAAATACAATAAATGTGCATGAAATCTAAGCGTAATTTAAAAAGTGGGAATACTTTCCAAGAGCAGTTTTTGTAATTGATGTGACAGTTACCTAAATAATAAGTAATAAACAGGTTGTACTGTCCCCTTTCATCACAATAGTACAACAAAATCTTGTGATAAAACTTTTAGGTCCACATCACCCTCCCCTGTTTTGGGGTACCAGAGTAAAGGGGGCTCCATTCACACTTCTCACACTTGTTTTTAAATAAGTACTCAAGGTGTGAAAACACTCATTTATGGACTCCTGAGGGAAACTGGTTGCACAAATTTGATTTATGGCTAGGCTGCATACAAATGCGTGCCACACTTTTCAGATTGACTGGCGCACTAGTTTTTAACCGGGGGTTTCTGCAGCCAAACGCCGCGGACATTTATTTGTGGAGAAAACACCACACTTTCACAAGATCTGATGTGGTTGACCACTGATGGGGCCCATCTGACTCCTGCTGCTTCACTTTCTCTTCTGCTATTTCCCACAGTGACGATTTGGCAAAGCTGCCAGGGAGGGATGAGAGTTCCCTTCAAGTAGTGAGGAGGGAGGATGATCTCACGTTTAGAAATACCCTGATTTCATTTGGGGTTTTTTCCCCCCCAAACTTCATCCAAAGAGCTGAAACACACTTTCTGCTGCTCAGAGAGATCCGACCTCCAGCTGGATTCCGGACCGATCAGACTGGACGATGAAAAACCGTGGAGGAGGAGAGAAGAGAAGAGTCGTTGCCATGGTTTTCGCGCTGGATGACTTCTCTAACCTTGGTCATGTCAAGAAAACTCAAAATGCGCAGACGTCACTTGGTCAGTGGAGGAGTGCGGCTTTCTTTGGAGGAAAAAATGAACTGAGAACTTGGAGAGGAAATGGAGGAAAGAGGGGAAAAAAAGATATTAACATCGCGTCCCGGTCATAAAACGACAGTAAAATCGCAAAAAAATAAAAAAAATAAAAAGTCCATCCACAGACGCGGATTAGTGAGTGAAATCAGATTATGATGATCCGTTTGGTGCGCGCTGCATCCAGCGGCCACTTTGGAGACCATCTGCACGCAACTCGATTTACAACTAGGGTCAGTCTGACATCAACCAATAATAGCAGACCAACCGACGAGAGCGCTTGGGGAAGAAAAAAAAAAGTTAAAGTCGTGAGAAAACTCAGAGAGCTTCATAAATACACTCACCAGATCCAGCAGCGCGCAGGACAAAAACAGGCAAATGCTCATGGAGACCCGCACCAACATAATCCACTAAATCAACCAGATTAAATATATATGAACATATATATTTATATAAATATGAAGAAGTCTTTTTTTTCTTCTTTTTTTAAAAAGTAAATAAATAATAAAATAAAAATCCGTGATAATCCGTGAAGCAGGTTTTGAATGGGTCGCTGTGCTCACTCTGTGCGCTCTGCGCTCCTGGTGGAGAGATCTGCTCTGCGCCACAAGCCTTCCTCTTCTTCCTCCTCCTCTCCTTCCTCATCCTCCTCCAGTGAAGCCAATGAGAATTCATCGCCGAACAAGGTGCAAGGTAAAAAGAAAAAAACAAAAAAACACACAAAAAAACAACTTCCAATAACAGACAAAAATGTCCTCTCTGTTAAACATGCTTGGAGACTTCACACGTCGTCGCTTCTTATTTAAAAATAAAATTAAAAATGCAAATTTGGGAGAGACGAGCTCTATTAGGAACACGGGGAACAACCAGATGTTTACTATTAATATTTTATATCTTAAAAAAAGAAAGCTGTTAGAAAGGTCTGGATTTTAAGGGGAGCTGAAATGTGAAGGAATGAGATTGATCTTGTTTTACTCATCAGAACTCTCGCTGAACAGTTCTAGATCAACCGAAAACTTTCATTACTATCATTATGATTATGATGATGATGATGATTATTATTATTATTATTATTTTACTTCCTGACAGGAAATTATTGCAAAAGTCCACAACCTTCGTGGAGCAACAGGTAATCCGTGAGAACACCGGAATGTCCGGGCTCAAACATTCACATGAAACATCAACTAAAATAACATCCCTAAACACGAGGATGGACAGAGTCAATACCACGCAAACCATGACTCACGAAGAGTCGCTTCGTAAAGTGAGGGCGGGTCAGGGAGAAACGTTGTGACGAAGCGTCAAAAAGGCATGTTTTAAATGTATTTATTTTAAATTAGGTTGTTGTTTCATTCGTTGTTCACAGGTCTTACATTTTTGTAGAGGCGTGTTTATGTAATATACTTTTTTTCCTCACGGGTATTTGCTGTCAGGCAAAAGTTTGGGCCGCTCGCAAACGTTTTAATTCCGTTTTAGTGACTCGAGGACGCTTGAGGACCCAGCTAACTAGCTTGCTAGCTAGCTTTGTCGCCTTTATTACGAAAAAATGCGAATTTTCAAGCAGTTGGCTGGACGGCGTTTCCCTGACCCACTGTTGCTGTTAGCCCATGCAAGGCTGTGTGACAACTAAAAGCTTTTTAAACTTGGAAATGTGGGGATTAAAGCTACGCAATGTGAAAAGCGCAAACCAGGGTTTGCTCTTAAACACAAAATCATTCAAGCTAGCGTTAAAAAGGAGCCTGGAAAGGTCTTAAATTTGACTGGGGTGAATCAGAATTAGAATATGCAATAGCATCCCAAACCTTGAGTATTAATGAAGCATTTTTTTTTTCTTTTCCACTGTCTGAAATTGAAAATAAAATCAAAATACAAGGATATTGTACAGAACAAGTTTAAAACAGAAAAAGTTGACTCCTCCTGCACCCCCCCAAAAATACTGCAACTTACTGAAAGTAAAAGCATTACAGGGATTACATGTTGATATGAAAAGGAGTTTGTAGTTTGGTTTTGAACTAAGGGAGAGAGTCGATGAGGAAATCTGTCCTTTGTGGAGGCACAGTACAACAAATGCCACTGTTGAAAGAAAGCCTCAAGAAGATGATTTAAAGTTATTAGTTCCTGGATAAAGAATTATTGGATTCCCTCCCCACAACCCTGCTTTTGAAATAAGAACATTTGTTTCATTTGTAAACCCCAAGAATCTTTTTTGCCCCAATTTATTGCCCTGTCTTGTGGGAATCCTTAAGTAAAGCCCCTGCATTCCTCCATAGATGCTTCACAGCTGTATTCCAGTCAGGTAACTTGCTGGCTCCTCTGTGGCCATCAGTTTGTTCTTAGTTTTTTCTGTGTGACGCAGTTTTGCAGCTGCAAAGTTTCGTATTCCTTACTCAAAAGCATTCCAACAATGGGCAAACCAACGTCATCCATTCGAATGCTTTTCTTCCTTTCAGCAGGCCGTCAAGGACAGATGTACCGGAGAGGAAGCAACACCTGAATCACAATGAGGCCTTATCAAGCGACAGAGGAGGCTGTGCGAGAACTGAAATTATTTAATGCGCCGCGGTCTCTTTCTGCGTCTCCCCTCTACCCTATGAAAACCCATGGAGTCAGAGATATTCCTCAAGATTTGCTTCTGTTTCTGCGGCGCTGATAGTCAGAAACGCAGTAATCTGCTTCAGTGAGAGAATTTACATTTTCAGTCCTCTGTGACTCTTTTCTGTCGTGGAGCAGGAGTGGAAACGTTGTGTGAGAGTGGCACACAGAGGAGAGGGGAAAGTGCTGCTTCACATAAAGAAACATGTAGAAAAATTAGGACACCCCTTTACAGCCTCTGTGACTTTTAGACGTATAAGGACAATTGGAGCATGTTCTCCCGGTGCATGCCTGGGTTCTCTCCAGGCACTCTGACTTCCTCCCAGGTTGGCTGATTGGTGCTAATGTTAGCTAAGCCAGATTTTAAAAAATTACGTACAGAGGCAGTTGCCCAGTGCTCTAAGTTTCGGGGTGGCCCGAAGAAATTGTTTTTTGTTCATATTGTACATGTTCATATTACAGCCATGGGCTCATTTTGCCTGTGGTGTTTTATTAAAATATTGTTGGATTTTTATGAATTGAAACTACACCCCAATGTGTCAAAATTAGAATTTTGTTTTAGCCATATGCCACATTTTAAACCAACCATCTATCAATTTGTGCCTGCAAATATATCAACCTACCTATTAATGTTATGTAATTTATATGAGTAAAACTTTTTAAAATGTAAATTATAGCGCAGGGGCCCTTACTCTTCCAAGTCCAGCACTGAATGTTAGCAATAATGCAAAAATAAATAAATAAATAAAACATCAAATGTTATAACTAAACAATTAAAACTGAGAAAAATAGCTGAGGAAACTGAGGAAAATGTAACATTTTGTTAAATGTTGCAGGAGATGCTTTTTTATGTTTGGAACGTCAAAAATCCTAGATCTTGGTTTTCTTTCAAGAAAGAAATGAACACGTCACCGGGTGCCATCATTTCTTCTAATGTTTGAGTACGGCAGCTGTGTGGTTACAGGCAGGTGATATTTTCCAAGAAAGAGAAGCAGTTTTTCTGCTCAGCACACACTGGGTAGCAGAGAATAAGGAAGCTGGCTGAGCCTGACACTTCACTCTGTGATTAATGGCGAGATCGCACTGGCCACCGCTAATCTGCCTGAGTGAAAAGCAATCAGAGGCTTAGCTGCTTCAGAGTTGAGAGCATGTGTGCTCTGGACCTGCCTCTCGAAGCTAAACGCCAGTCTCCTGAAATTATACAAAACATTCAGTTTGACGCGAGGCAGCGACTAACATTTAGCATTGGGTCAATTTTAATGAGTTACAGATGCGGCATTTTGAGTGTAAGGCTTGAAGTGATCGTAATTTGTTTCTAATCCACGCCTGGTAAACATTACAGAGATGCACATATAAACGTTCACTCAGAAATATTTCATTCAAAGCCTTTTAAAAAGATGCACATACATAATGCCATCATGGATGGATATTTTTAAATTTTTCGGGCAGCATTCGTAGAATCCATCTTCAATTCAACAGATACTTTGAAACTTGCGTGTGCCAACAGTGACATCATCCCAAGCACACATTGAATTCAATTACAAATGCAAAAAATACTTTGTTGACTCCAATGAGAAATTAAATAAACATGAGAACTGGACTTGGAATGGATACAGAAAGCTTACCTAAAGCATCTGGGGCGAACCGTTATTTCCAAAGAGCCAAATCCGTCTCAGAAAATGACAAAAGTGTAACGTGAATGCCACAGTCTCAGCCATGCTGAGCAGGATTCCAGAAATAGCATCACATAAAAATAAAAACAAGGGATCAAGTCGAAGCTCCATGTTGATTAAAGCACAAGCAGAAAGGCTCGTCTTACCTTTCGCTTTAAAATATCTTGATGAATTTGGGAAGATATTCTGCAGACTAAGGCGGCTAAAGTGAAGGCGTTTTTCTCGTTATGTCAGGTGCAAATCAAACTGAAGGTTTCAGAAAAAGGAGATCTAATGTGGTGAAGGTAGAGTGATGGTCGGGAGCTGCTGTCACTCTTGAAGACTTGAAGATGCTGTAGTTGATGGGAAAGTAAAAAATATTGTAGTTTTTTTTTATTTATTTTTTTTCAATAGAAATACTCAAATAAAAGGCAACAAAGTGAATCTTAAGTCCTTTCTGGACAGTTTAGCGAAACTCAAGATGTTACTGTTAACCCAGCTAATGCGTGTATCTTCAACGCTTCTGAATATATCAAAGCATGTAATGTAATTATCTTGGTAAGTCACTTTAATAAGGTACTGAGTGCTCAAATTGGCGGCCCAGGTTACCATAGCAAATGAAATTGCAGCATTCTGTCTCATTCAGACTCATAATTCACTTGTCTGGAAAGCCTGCTATTGAGGAAGGATCTGTAACTCATAATTACGTGATTCGGCAGCTGTGAGCACTTCAAAGATTTTCAGCCCACATTTGTGACACTTTTTTTTTGGGTACAGGTGAACCGCAAATGTGGTAATTTTTAGATTTTTCACAAAAAAAAAGGGGACAAGAAAAATAAGAATCATTTTGTATTGAAGCAAATGAGCTAGATGGTGTCACTCCTGTCATATAAAAGCTGGAATTAGAAAATGAGAAAAGTACTTGCAGTTAAAATCTACACGAGTACTTTGGAAACACTCCAATGTGTGTCAGAAAAGTTCATGGAAATCTAAAAAAAATAAATAAATGCATCATTACTACAAATGATCCCCAGCATAAATGCACCATTCATGCTGGCAGATTTACCCAATAACACACCACCGCAACAAGCAGCAGAAAACACACAAAACTAACATGGAGTAGTGGCTGTCTAGAGCACAAGGCAGAGCATTAGAGTTACTTATAGAAGTCATTTAAATTAGAAAAAAAAGAACAACTCCTGCACCTTTAGACTTTTTATATATAAC